AATTAGATGGAGGGTCCAACCTCTCTCATGACCTTCCTTATGTCATCCTGTATCGCTGTGTCAAATTGTGCTAATTTGGTAGTTTTTTTCCAAAATTACATATGAAATTAGATGGGGGTCAAATTCCCCATTCCTCATGACCTTCCTTATGTCATCCTGTATCGCTGTGTCAAATTGTGCTAATTTGGTAGTTTTTTTCCAAAATTACATATGAAATTAGATGGGGGTCAAATTCCCCATTCCTCATGACCTTCCTCATATCATCCTGTATCATTGTGTCAAGTTTGGTGCTGACTGACCAAGAAATGTGGAAATGTATAAGGAACAGATATGAAATGATAGATACATAATCACGTGTTTTTTTTCCCAGACACACACTTTGCTTTATATAGTAGATGGCAAGCATAATGCTAAATAGACTGTAAACGAAAATATTGTACCTACTTTAGGGTTAAATTAAGATTACTTAGTGTCTATCTGAAAAGAATAAAAAGAAGAGGGAAAAGGACAACTTTGTAAGCATCAGTTAACTTGATTTAATAAGCTGAAGTTCTCTTGCATCTGAAGCCTCACACATTACATACTGAATTTTCACTACACCTATATTCTCAAAATGAGCATAACATACGCACAGAAATAATCATTAATGACTGTCATTTAACAATTACAAAAGATTAACCAAAATGCTAATTGTTGTTATGATATTTTTTATTCTATTCTGTTAAAAAAATTATTTTTGTACCAGAAATAATTTCAAAGGAATAAACCAGCAAATGTAACACTGCATAAATACACTTGTGAGCATAAAATATGCCTGTGTCAGTTACTGCTTTTCCTAATGTATTGTTGTTTTTCTGTGGTTTATCCATTAAGAAGCCTCTCCTAGTCTTTAAGCCTACACGCTATAACATAAAGTCACTGTACATACCTTCACAGATAAAAACCAAAGGGTAGAGAGGTATCCACAGAGTGTACCGGAGCCATGTTAGAAAGTGGATGTTGACACCATACATTTTTAACATGTAATATGGATATCTGGAACAAATATACAATGCACTACATGTTCAAAACAAAGATGGCAATTTTAACTTATTTTTGTTCTTTTCAATGAATATTATATTGCTAGGTTTTTAAATTTGTGAGCCGCAACTGGATGAGGTTTGGTGATTTAACATTTTAACAAAAAAAAACACTTTTGATGTTCATTTAGAAGGTCCTAGATGTTATGCAAATGAAATGTAAAAATTACCTTGCACTCAGACTAGTCAGTGTGTGAATCAGACTCTGACTTCATAAGTTCACAGACAAATCTTTAGTTAAAATACATAATTAAAAGACTTGTAAGGTTTACTAAAAACTTGCCAACTTTCTTTATAGCATTTATAGTTTCATGGTTACATGGTAGTTGCAAGGTTAGTCAAGTTGATCAAGTCTGTAAGGATGTGCATTGTATAAGCTTTCATTATTAAATACTCTTCTTGCTTCCACTATACTCGCTTTCTCACAGATGTTTGGTCCCTCTTATGTGCAAGGATCTGGAAGGCTTGAAAGCTTTTGCTTGGTGCTGATATTTCAATCTGTTTTTTTACAGTGTACTAAAGAAATAAGTAACAATTACAGAGTAATGCCTGATTTCCCAATATGACAACAGCCTATTTAATTACTATTAGAAATAGAACATTTCTTTTTTTGCAAATGATATAAAAAGATTATCCTGTTCCATTTGAGGAGGATGGTAGATTTTTAATGCAGAGTTACGGGTGTGTGCCAATAAGAAGTCACAATCAACATTGAAAATACTCAAAAACAAAGTTCAATGATAAAAGTTGATACTAATTTCAATAATTGTGAAATCTGTAAAGGTTTTTTAAACACCAGAAATAAAATAATACAACACTTGTTGTATTTTCTATGTCACTTCTAATGACAGAATGTATTGTTTCTAATGCACACATAAATGCTACTAAAAAAAATCAGCTGAATTTTGTTTCCCATAAAGCTTATATAAATATACTACACTGTTTGAACCGATGATACAATTACTTCAGCTCACACAATTTTCTAACACAGCCCTATAATTATAAAATTACATGAAACTGTATGCTATATTTTTCATTTTAAATTACATCCAATTGAAATAAGCCATGTAACATAACCCAAAGCAGAAAGAGAAGAAAATTACTCACTTGGCTGATCACAGTCTTCCAACTCTCAATTACAGGAGAGTCAGTAGTTTATCTTTTTACTATGCTTTCAAAAATTACTTTATCTTTTAGAAATGCCTCTAATTGTAATTTGAAGATAGCATATTAAGTGGATAGGCTTTTTAAGAATATTTGAACTAAAAAACTTGCCAAAAAATAAATTATTTCATGAGAGCTCCACTGCTAGCAGAGTCTAATATTTATGTTGGAGAAGAAGAACTTAGGTAAACTTACTTACAATATTATCATGTTAACAACCTATTACTTTTCACACACTGATTAAATAAACTAATTTATTCTTACAATTATTAAAAGTTTTTTTTGGCTACAGATTAGTTTTTCAGCATTACCTCATACAAAAGAAATAATGCATACACAGACACACACAAAGAAAAATTATAAAGATAAGCTGCTAGTGTTTTAAGTTTTTTATTTCTGTAGCACATTCACGGTTTCCAGGCTGCTCTTCTGTTATTTTCTATTTTCACACACAATTTTTAATACTATTCCTTTAAATTCTATGGCATTAATATTTCGAACTTGCACAGAATTATTACAAAAGTTGTGGAACTGCTGAAGTATAGTTAAAGCAATAAAGTAGGCTATAAACAGTGAAAGCACAACAACAAAAAACAATGGCTACATATCTGACTAATTTTGTTTATGTATGTTTGCTGGAGTTGTAATGATTTTTTTTGAAAGAGAATTTTTTTAAAAATGTAATTAGAGAATTAAAGAATAATAAAAAATATCTGTGCCAAATGCATTGTACCTAATGCGCTTGCTGAGAAAAATCAAAAATTTAATGTAAACACTGTCATACCTGATAACTTCCATTATTGTGAATCCTATGAAAAGATAAAAGATGGCTGATTTTGTTTGGCTTCTTGGGTGAGCATCAAGCAATGCAAAAATGATAAGAAATCTTCCACAGAGCTGATAAAGAAGCAATTATATCATCTAAGTAAGTCATAAAACATACATTACTATTTTAGAAAGTTAATATTTTCCTCATTGAAAATGTATTTTTGATAGATACCTACCTCTCTCACAAAACAGCTTTCTTCAATTTTTGTTGCCTTCCATATGTGCAATTTTCACTTGCCACTATCCATGATGATCCCACCTACTCTCATGTGTTTACATGTGGTATAGTTGCACTGTAGCATGCAAATAAGCATATGACAACCCTCCACCAATAGCAGTGCAACACACCCTCCAACAGCAGCTGACTCCATCTATACTGTAGAGCACAGAGAGAATCACTTCCATATTAGGTGGGAAGTGTGATTTGAGTTATCTATTGGAAATACAATTTTGGTGTAGAGTGGCTATGGCACGTCAGGCCGTATTTGGTGGGTCAACTCCATTGGGTATTTGTCTTCCAGTAGTAGGAGGGTCATAACTGTCTTCACCTCAAGACTATGAAGCAGATGGGAAAAACAACTTCCAATCTGAGAACCCAGCCAAGATACATGTGCGCAGACCCAGTATACAACCAACACCAGGACACCCAGGAACCTGACATCTGGGTAACAGTAGGAAGAGGGAATATAAACATGGTGGGTCAACTCCAGTCAAAAAGTAGGCAGCATTGGGAATTTGTTTCTGTCCCATGATAGGAGGAGGGCCCCAACAAACCACGTGTGTAAGGACTTCTTATGTTGGCTGGTCCTACATTGATCCAACACCAGACCACCCAGGAACTGACATCCAGGCAGTGGTAGGATGGGGAAAGACAGCCAGAGAGATGAACTGCATGTGGTGGATTCATCCAGTCTAGCATAGGGTATTTGTCTTCTGGTCCACAGTTGGAAAGTACTCACCATCTACACCAACAGAACACTACTACTCTACTCTCGACTAAGTGGAATTGGTCACACTCAGGAGAGAGCCTCCATGGTCTATCACCTCAGTGGCTGGGAACTGGTAAGTGGCAAGGACTCCCATACTCCACTAAGAGAGGATGGGGTAACAATGGGTGACCACAAAAACCTTATTTCAAAAAGCAGGCTGGTCCTGATTTATTCAACTAGGACTGGAGGGGTGGGCAGCAATCCCAAAACTGCTTTACTCATGACAGTCCAGGAGTTGGTATGGGCTCATGTGGGCCTTATTTATGAGGCAAGGTACCGTAAGGCAACCTCTAGCAGTTTTGTGTGGAACATCCCATCTCATCAATGAGTGTTATGTATCTGTACGGCCATATGGTGCAGATTTAAAGTTAAGTGTACATGGACAGGCACCACTCAACACAGAGCAGGATCCAAGGATGTATAAAGGTACCACTGTAAAGGTAAGAGATAAAAAAGTGACAACTTACCCTGTCAGAGCATATATGTGGTATAGAGAATGGCATCAGGAAACAAGCCGGAGGAGGAAGAGCTGGCATGTAGGTAGTGTATGACAAAACTGTGAGGTGTAGTCCACATGCCACCCTACACTATCTCCTCTAAAGGATGACAGAAGTGAGCAGCCAGGGAAAAGGTGAGAGGACAGATTTGGTGAGAGGAAACTTGGAAGATGCGATGAGAATCCTCAGACAATGAAGCATAAGCCAGACAAATAAGTTGACACAGCCATCTGGTAAAGGTTACAGTAGAAAGTTCCTGGGTAGAGTGCAAAGAGAAGCCGTGTGGGCAACACAAGAATGAGAAGCCTGTACAGGACAAAGAAGACGACTGGGATCAGAACGGAAATATAGGTGAGAAATAGAAGGAAGGAAAATAGATGTGAATGTACTGTCCCCTTTAAGTGTTGCTGATATTTTTGGGAAAAATCTACTATCATGATAAAGAAAAAAATATGAACAATGATTGAGAATGTGAGAAATATCAATAGCAAAGACATCTGACCTACTGCATCCACAAGCAATGAGGAGTAAAAAATAAGTCTTGAGGAAGAGATGGCATAAAGAACAAGAGGCCAAAGGCTCAAATGGGAAAGGGTAAAGGCATGAACGAAAACATCGATGTTCCAATTTGGTAGGGTATTGGATAGGAAACTAATGGGAGAGGAAAATATAAGGCTGAAATGGGAAAAATGAAAAGTATTGAATAACATCTCCCTATGTCCAACAACAGTAGAAACAGATAAACCATTGCTGAAGAACCAAGTAAAAAAATTGGAAAGCGGGGGAACAGTTGGTTGGGAAGGTGATAAGCTGTGATGCAAAGACCAGTAACAGAAAATGTGATATTTATGTTGGTAAACCAGCGAGGGAGAAGAGCAGACAAAATGAGAAAAAAGGAAGGCTACTCAAGTAGAAAGTCTGGAATGTCTCGCATGGGACCAGACAAAACTCACACATCAAGACAGCATGAAGCTACAATAAAGATAAAAGATGGAAAAATGAGGTTGTCAAAGAAGGGTTCGGAAAGAGGAAGAGGCACAAGGAGGATATGATTGAAGGAGATTCAAGAGTGGAAAATATGGTTGTGCTGACCAGAATGGAGTGATGAGAAGGACTCAACGCTGAGTGCTTTGAATAATAGAAAGAATGCAGGAAGAAGATAGATAGGAGGATAAGAATACAGGAAGAGATTGGACCAAACTTGACTGAACACATCCATGGTCAAAGCTGAAGAATACAAAACCAGAGACCAGAAAAGGGGAAGTTTGGTAATTAGCTGGGTTGCAAAGGCATCCAAAAAAGGGTGCCCAGCTAGGAGTATAGCCACCAGAACACTATGCCGGTAGAATCTTGCCAGAATGAGAAATGCTTGGTGAGATGCTAGCAAGAAAGTGGATCCAAAGGAAGGGGTCAAAAAATGGGAACTGGAAATAATGGAGGAGGAGTGGAGAAAAGAAGAAACAGTCCTTCTGCTATCATCTGAAGAAACCAAGAATCTGCAATGAAAGGATGCCACAGATGAGCAAACCTGGCTAACTGTGCTGTAATCCAAAGGGTAGTCACTGATGACAATGGTGTCTGAAAAGTCAATGATGGGTGATCTGATGACTCATAGCTGAAACACAGGTAGGTGGAACTGGTACATGCGAGTACACTGGAGGACGAGACACATGAATAGTAGAGAGGCAAGGTAAAGACAAAAACAAGGGAGATAAGAGGAATATTGCAGTGCAGCCTCCATCCAAGACTAAAGTATCAGGGATATCACCCAAAACAGACTGGTGCAAGAAAGGATCCAAGTGAAAGTCACACAGATAAGAAACTGGCAGATGCATATGTGACAAAAGTGTGTCCTAGCCAAGGAGATGCCAACAACAAAGTAACCACATATAACATATATAGGGACCAAGCAGAAGATAAACATGCCAATGTAGAGAAAAGAGGGGCAAACATATCCACTGAAAACCAATCAGAAAGGAGTTGAATACATGACAGATAAGGAGGATAGTCATGTGGGTAAGACAAATACAAGAGAATGCAGCTGAGTAAAGAACTGTTAAGCATGAACATAAATATCTGATGATGAGGGAAAACTAAATAATTAGACTTTGGGCCAAAATGAAGAAGGGAGGAGGAGAAATCATACGAAAAAAGAGAAAGAGACAAAAGGTAACAAACCTTACAGATCATGTCCAGAAATGCTGAGGAAGGACAAAGGAGGTCTATAAAGGAAGACTGGGAATGAGCCACAAAAGCTGGAGGTGGAAATAGGCTGTCTAAGTCTTCATCGTAAAGATCAGATTCTCAAGGAGATGAGAGATCCAACTGTGGCTCAAAAGACATTGCAGGCTGCATGTAAGATTCTAATTATTGATGCACCAACACTGAGATCTTCCTCTGCCAAAAGTGTGGAGCCTGAAGCCACAGTAGTGTTAAGTGTGGCAGGATCCATACCAGAAGTTGTAGTTGCTACATGAAACTGAGGGATCACTATATGGAAAAGCAAAGCAAAACTTTCCACAAGAAAATTTAAAATATAAATGACAACAAATGTAAAGTTGTCAAAAGGTAGTAAAAAGTTGAAGTGAACATGAAAACGCAAAGTACTGGGCAAAAATTTAGCACAACTGATCTTGTGAATGCCAAATTGAGAAGTGATGAGAGTGCTCTACAGTATGGAGGAGTCAGCTGCACTAGGAAGGTGTGTCATGCTCCTATAGGTGGAAAGTTGTTGCATGCTCACTTGCATTCTATGGTGCAACTAGACCATGTGAGGGTAGATGGGAGTATTAAGTTTAGTGGTGAGTGAAAAATGTGAATATAGAGGACAGGAAAATCAAGGAAATCTACCATGTGAGTGAAGGCAAGGTACTGTATCGGAAAGTAAGCTTCTTTGTGTGGCATAAATCTTATACACCATGAGTAAACCTTTTCAACCTTGCTATAATGTTTTATAATTTCAAAATACTTTAAAAACCAAAATGAAAATTCACAATTCTGATAAACAAATCTAGTGATCTTCCAATTAAACCAAATTATGTTGCAGTTTATGCTATTCATACAATACAAATCAGCTTATGTTAATACTTCCAACTTTTCTAAACTTTAAATCTTAAGTAGGAATATTTTTGAGTTACATTCATATTAAAATATAACTAAGTCTTTTAAAATAATTGTCAGGATACAATGAACTCTATTGAAAAATATTATTTGCAATATGAGCCTCACTCTCAAGACTTTCAAGCAATTAACAAAACTAGTTAGAAAATCAGCTTTCATTCAATGACTCACATTACAAACAAATAAAGGGTATATCCATGGGTACCAAAATGGACTGTTATTCTCCAACTGTTAGTAGGCTACATAGAACATAACACGTTTTTAACTTATGATGGACCCATGTAAGTTTTATATTGACAATACATTGATGACATAATTAAAATCTCAACTTCCAGCACAGACAAACACTATAGTTTTATCAATATTACTAAGAACTGTCAAACAGATCTTCAGCACACAAACAATGTTTCAAACCACTCCATAAACTTCCTTGACATCACTCTAACCTTAATTACAGGGAATACTATTTCAACATCCATCTATTAGAAACCTACAGACTCCCATTCTTTCCTGGATTAAACCTCAAACCATCCCATGTCCACTAAAAATGCCATTCCAGTATCACCACATATGTCGTCTATGCAATTTCAAACCTAATTTCAACCAGAAAGCTGATGATATGTCAAGTTGTTTTTAAGATTATAGTTATCCTATGTCCTATAAACATAATCAACTCAGCTTGTAAAGGTCAATTATAATAATAATAATGCACTAAAACTGAATATGAAAAACAACGACCATAAAAATCAAGTCCTTTTGATATGGACATATCATCCACAAAAATACAGGTTTCTAAAATAATTATGAACAGTTTGAGATAGTTAAAAACAACAAAACATTAAGAGAAACATTTAAAAATAAAACTATCATTTCTTATCGACACAGAAAAACCTAAAAGATATATTAGTTTGTACGTGGTTGAAGACACCAGAAGCAATCACTCATCTTCAATGTGGTACATGTTACTGTGCAAGTTCAAGATGAAACATAATCAATTACATCAACACCGGTACTTCTGTATTTGGATCCAATTTCATGTACACAATCAAACAGTTGTTCACCTGTACATACAAGTGCTTAATTTATTGCAATACTTTTTTATATTGTGGACAACTGTATGTAGAAGAAACAGGTTGAATATTGTCTTAACAAGCATGCCAACACATCTGTAACATCCAGACAAACATGTGGCTAAATATTTCAATGATAATGACCATAATATTAGCCACTTCAGAATACTGGCCTTCCATCATTCATCAACAGTCAAGAAGAAGAGACAAAAAAATGAAAATGTGCTTAATTTATTGCAATACTTTTTTATATTGTGGACAACTGTATGTAGAAGAAACAGGTTGAATATTGTCTTAACAAGCATGCCAACACATCTGTAACATCCAGACAAACATGTGGCTAAATATTTCAATGATAATGACCATAATATTAGCCACTTCAGAATACTGGCCTTCCATCATTCATCAACAGTCAAGAAGAAGAGACAAAAAAATGAAAATGAACTAATCTATCAGTTTGGAACCATTCACCGTAAGGAAATAAATGAAAGGCTCCAGAGTTTTTCAAACGATGCAAAACACCAAATTACCAAATAATATTATTGATACTCCTTTAAACTGCATTAAAATATAATTCAAACTTACTTTGGATTCTTAGTTGGATTATATTTTTTATTTATAATGATATATATATATATATATGCTAATATTATCCTATTGTAAAAAACATTGATTTGCCTGTGATTCATATGTATTCTACTTTAGGTCTATTTTTTTTTCATGATAATCCTTATGATATCAAACATTGTGATCATTAAAGCATTTATTTAAGATCAACCATTTTTTGTTTTTCTACTTTTTTGTTTTTTAACTATGTATGAAAATGCATAGATTTCACCTGGCAATGTATAACTTGTGAAAATTCTAAATTATAAGTTTCATTATTGGTATAGTAAAAGTAAAAGCAACATTACCATGACTGAAACCCAAATACAATAATAGTAAAAAGTTTATTAATGAGCACATCTAATAATTATAATAAGGAACTGGAATTTTTAATTTCAATCTTACATAATGCACACTTGGACTAAATGGCCATATCAGAGACCTCTAGGTTTCAGATATAGCTATCGCTTGTTTTGATCAAATTACAGAGAAGAAGAAAGACTACCAGCTAGCATTTAGTATCTGCAACCATATGAGCTTTAACCAGCTCTTTGAACTGAATAATGAAATTGATAGTGACTTTAATAATAAACATATGGTTGAAAGTGTGGAATATGTACTTGGTATAATGTATCGAACCCTCAGCCCCCTGATTCACAGCTCGAAGTACTAATCATCAAGCCACAGTTCACCTCAATAACCTGAAACATCAACCTTATAAGGTAGAAGTACAAGATATAAATGACTTTCTGTATAGATCAAGTTCATCTTTTAATATCATTTGATGTGAATGAAAATAAAAATTCATATTTAAAACAATTGTAATTTGTCTAACTAGTTACATCAGCTTAACTGTATAAAGGATTTCAAAAAATAAAAGCTCTATGTAAAAGAAATACTAAAAGTTAACATTTTCTTCAACTGAAAATGTATTTTTGATAGGTTCTTACCTCCAATAACAAAAAGCTTTTCTTGACTTATACTTCCCTCTATATGCACAAATTGTTGCTTACCATTTGCCTTAATACTCCCATCTACCCTCATGTGTATTCACCTGAGACATCTGCATGCTATCATGCAAATGATCATACAGCATACTAATGAATTAGTAAATGAAAAAATTAAGATACACAAATAATCGACACAAAGCCAAAAAATAAGAAACTATTGGTAGGAAAGTATAAGTGAAAACATGTCCTAAAATAGGACTTCCAATCAAGCAATGATTACAGGCTGCATGGAAGAGAGGGCGCTAGTGATGATAGGAGTTGTATTGCACTCCTATCAGTGGAAAGTTGCTGCATGACCTTTGAAGGACAGCATGCAGATGTCTCAACTGATGTTACATGTGAGAATAGGTGGGAGTATCAAAGTAAGTGGTAAACAAAAATTTGCATATAGAAAGGGCAGTGTAAGTTGAGAAAAGCTATTTGTTAGAGGAGGTAAAACCGTGTATTTAAAAATAAGATTTCAATATACATAATCAATGAAAAATGTAAATACTAGGATGCACGGGTAGTAAAATTTGGCCAAATACCGGGTCAGGTACCCAGTCACTAAGCTTTGGCCAGAGCCAGGTGTCAACTGGGACCGGGTTCTCCCTTTGATCCCCCCCCAAAAAAAAATAGAAACAAAAACAAAATTGACATTTATTACATTTAACCAAATAATCACCAACAGAACATTCAAATTTTACTTTTAACTTTTAATGCCTAGCCCCAACTTCTCAAACTCTATTGCCTATTGTTCTCAATACCCCCACCTTCCCCTGAAATCCACTTCTCAATCCATGTCTGTTATTAACCCCTATTGTTCTCTGAATTTCCGACTTTCAGCAGGCAGTCAGTTTTTGTTGCTCGGAACACGTTTTTTTATAACTAAACCAATTATTGACTGTAACTTTCAGTACTGCGTTTGTTGCCACAAAGATTAGGGCTTAGATGCCTAACTTCGACACTCGACTGGAGCAGAGTATTACCAGGTAGCCCAATACCCAGCCAGAACTGAATATCTGGCCGGGTACCCATGAGCCCTAGTAAATACATAAAGTTTACCACAAGGGAATAACAGTATAGCTGCAAAATTAAACTGAACAGATATACCTTTATAATGCAACTTACACAAATATTTTTTTTAAGCATTGAAAGAATTTTCAACTTAAATTAGTTTTTCAGAATACAAAGTTGTAAGTTAAGTATTAGGTAAAAACACTTTTTGCTTTAATCTTATACTTAAGTAAATCTAAAATGTTTTTAAAATAAATTCAAAATTTTCACACCTGAAACAAACACATAAAGTAATTTCCCCGTGTCATTCCTATCAGCAAGTGAATTATTTCTAGCATTTGCAGCAATTGGCAAATTTTCATCACTCTTCCAACTGCTTCATATGTTCCATCTACAGAAACTAGGGTACAAAGTAGAGATGCATAGTCACCAAAACATTTATATGTTACATAAGCTAGCTAAAAGCTAAATACTGAAGAACTAGCAGTGGCAAAGAAATGAAATACAATTTAATATGTAAAAATATTATGATGGAAAAATGTCCATTAGAATTAAACTGTCTTTAAACATGTGTGTGTGTGTGTTGTGTAACACTTTTTAATAAAAAAAGCAATAGAGTTAAAGGAAACAACTGAAGGAAAGATTCTGTAGTATTTTTGGACTAGGCACTGAAGAAACGTTTCATTTTATGTTTATCTTTGTTTACATTAATTGTGAGAATTTGAAATGAAATTGCTTATGCAAATGTGATTTATCCAAAAGTTTAAAAAAAAACAATCCTATGTCTAGCAAATTTAATACAATAATAAGTAAGAATATTTCAATTTGTACTTGTATTACAAGCTTGTATTCAGTTTATAACTAAAAAAAATAGTCTTGTTTTTACTTTATAAATAATTCAGACAACAGTGAAACTTTTCATAAATAATAAATTCTGGTATGACAAAACTTTTATGCCTACTTACATGGTCCTTCTTTAGCATATCGAATGAGCATTACTATTAATATATACAGAAATCCCACAAACTGGATCAAATTGTAGAATAGGAGATAGACCTTCCAGAAATCCTTCACTTGTGTGGAAAAATAGATGTAGAGTGAAATTGGTAAATGGGCATTTTCATTATGTAACTCATTTAATTTTTCTTTCTGAATGAAAAAACTAAAAGGATACACTTATCATAATATACATTCTATTAAAGAAACATTAATTTAAAAAGTTCAACTTTCACACTCATCAATACGAATGCTTAAAATACAGAAATAATTCAAATACATAAATATATTTAATTATTAGGTTAAACGTGAGCTGTTAATGAAAATTCTGCAAGGAGGATTTTTGGTAAAAATGACAAAACTGTCTATTCTACAAAGTTACCAAGTTGGTTTTCTATTCATATCTCATTCTTAACTGTTACACACAATCTAGATACTTTATCAAGCAAACTTTTAACTTCTACTGTTACTGCTAATTGCCAAGTGACTTTGTAGTCTCTGAAATGCAGCAAAAATCAACATTTATTGATACATTTATTATATAATTAAAATACTATTTATAAATATCTAGCAATATTTAAGATAAAATCCATAGCATTACAAATAATGATACAAAACTATAAAGAAAAAGTATATATTCCATAAAACAATTTTTAATGAAAATTCCATACCATTTTGGTAAGATCTTTTCCTTGTTCCTATAATATCTCTAAGTTTTTCTTTCTGATTTTAACAAAAAAGGAAAAGAAAACTTCATTATAAATAGTTGATTATCCTCATATAATGGTGTATTTACACCTTAAACAAATAGTAATTAAAAAATTCTGTTCTCTCATAGATAGATAGTTACTGTTGGCTAGCTAACAAAAGTCATCTCTAGAAATCATGAACTAAAATAAACCACCACAAAATGCTCATTTATTTTTCAGTGTAATTAGGTGAGATTTGATTACAGAATTAATGAACTATTCCTCTAGATGTTATAATGCTTCCAAGTTGAACATTTAAGTTTTAAAAACACAAAAACTATTTAATGTATGTTTTACTTTTTACAACAAGTTTCATCCTTCAAGACTATATAATTCTCTAAGGTGATTTAAAATAAAATGTGGTGTCAATATATATTGAATGTTTCTTAATTATGTATAAAGACTAGAACATGGGCATCTTTTTTTTTGTTCTAATTTTGATTAATCTAAATATATAAAGCTAATATACAATTTTCTCTTTTGTGAATGATATAAAAACAATTCCCAAATATTACTTGGCTAAAAGTTTTGCAAGAAAACAGATATCAGAGTGGAAATTCCATTAAAGTTCACAAGAATTAATGAGGTATTACATTTCAGAATATAATTTTGATGTATTGTAGTTTCTCAAGGACTTTGATAGCTTAAATATTATTGAAGAGTAACTAACCAGTATAGCCTTAAGTTCAGTTATATGTTCCAATAAATATATTTTGCTTAGCTTCTACCATAGCTGTTGTACAAGAGATAATGAGAAACTTTTTTAATTTGACATGAACAAGAAATTCTATCCAATGTTAATATTTTACTTACCTAAAAAATATATTTCAGATACACATATCTAATCAAAAACCTTAAGTGTGAAAAAAAAGGTGCAGTCAAAGAAGGATTAAGCATGCGACTTAAAGGAATTAAATCAAAATTGGCAGTCAAGCTGGTACCTACACTTATTGCATGTGATGCTAAATGCTTTTTAATTAGTTCATAAAATTTAGTAAATTTGTGCTGAAAAGTTGGCAATGAATAATCAATGATAACTGTCCACCTGTATGATTCTATTGAAAACCTGAGCTAAAAACTGTTAATCTAGTTTGCTTGGTCTAACCAATACTTATGTATCGTTTGTTTGTTTTGAATTTCATGCAAAGCTACACGAGGGCTATCTGCACTAGCTGTCCCTAATTTAGCAGTGAAAGACTAGAGGGAATGCAGCTATTCATCACCACCCACCGCCAACTATACTTATGTATCTGCACATCTTTCACCTTATATTTTTGCTGCTCTAAATCAGCCATCTTTAATCCAATAAAAGTGCAACACACTCTCATGATGCATGCAACTCCAAAACTTCGATTTTTGGTAGAATATGGAAGCACCAGTTTTCAGTGGGGAAGAATAATAACTTCAGTTATGGTACATTCTACTCACATAAATAGCTAAAATCCCACATTGAATAGGTGGAGGGACCAGAGCGAGGGAAAGAAGGAAGCATCCTTTGAAAGCATCTGAAGGACACTCCCCAAGATGAGACAGTCAGATTCTAAGATCTGATGTGGGGAACTGCACCACTTCTGAACCAGGTATACTCTTCGCCCATCGTAGAAAGATGTTGCATATATGGGCAGAAATCAGAGAAGCACATCCAACTGGGAGAGCACTATGCCCAGAAAGTGATCCGAACCATGCAATATTTATGAAACTCAATCACAGAAATTATAAAAGTGGGTAAAATGAAAAGAATTAGCTCCTAGGTGTAGAGTGGCTAGGGCTCGACAGACCGTACACGGCAAATAAATTACATCCCAAACTCATGTCACAGGAAACCAACATCCATGTGGAGGTAGGATAAGGATCATACCATTGGTAAGTCAACTACAATCCAAAACCCGGCTGCCAGGTAGTGACATCCATATGGGAGTAGGAAAGAGGATCATACCTGTGGCAAGTCAACTACAATCCAAAACCCAGCCATCTGGAAGGGGTAGAAAAGAGGATCATACCACCTTCACCTTAAGTTCATGAGACCAGAGGGAATTTAGTATCCCCCGACTTAGGAAAGGGACGCACGTGAATATGATAATTTGATAGATCGATCCGGGAACACAACATCTGGTATCTAAAAGAAGTGTACATAATGTAAACCACCTCCCTCAAAAGTAAAATTGACCAGAACCTCCCCAAGTGCATTAACATCCTCAGAATAAGAAACATTGAGGGTTAGTGGAAGGGAAAGAACCATAACAATCTGCAATTACCTTCACCATGACCCATAACACTGATGGAGTATAAATGAGGAAGGAATATATACATATGTAATATATGTGTGAAGACTTACGTTGATGGGTTCTACTCTAAATCTAAAACCTGGGCACTGGGAACCGACATCCATGTGGGAGTAGGAAGGGGGATCTCAATTGAAGGGGTGAACAATAATTTTCACATTTCACTCCCATTTGTTTTTATATTTCATATTGGAAGATATAAATATCACATCATCTACACCAGCAGAACACCACCACCTTATTCTCAACTAAATGGTTTTATAATCATTTCTATCTTTGTTTGTATGTCATTAACCCATTCAGGAGGATGCCTCCACTACCCCAGTGGCTTGGAACTGGAAAATTGTAACGACTCTCAAATTCCACTAGAAGGAAAAGGGGGGTAAAACACAGTGGAGAGTCAGAAGGAACGACAATACCTGAGAAAGTGCAATAGGTGACCATGAAATTATATTTTTAAGAGCAGATCATACCGATTTATTCAATACAAAATATAATCATGTTATAATCATCTAGCATGGTCACAGGACATAGTGTTGATTTGATAATAAGTACACTTGATTAGGCACCACTCAACACATAGCAGGATCCATAATGAATGAGCAAGAGGCCCTGTAAAGGAAAAAACTGAGTACTTACCAGTCACAAAGAAACAGATGTGTGTAAAATGGTGAGCGGAGGTAAATGGAAACCAACTGATCATGAAATGACCACATGATGTAGGTAGTGAGACGTAAAGGTATGCGGAGTTGTCCACATACCCATGCTGATGATGCCCTCCAAGGGAAGATGAAAATGGGCAGCCAGGGAAATGGTCAAGCGACAGATCCGATGAGAAAAGACATGAAAAAGGCAACAATCATCTGGGGAAAAGGAAAAATGTGCTAGGCTAATAACCTGGTGAATCCAAACAGGAGAAAGATCACGTGAAATGGAAGAATTTCAATGGAGAAACAAAATGGACATGAGAACCACAGAAGGGGCAGTGCATGTCACATACCATCAGAAGACCCTGACTGGGCATAGGAGGTAATCAGTATCTGAATGGTCATAAAGATGGGAGATGGAATAGAGGGGGGGGGGATGGGAATGAAAGTGGAATCACCCTCCCAGGCAGCCAGTCTTGGGTAGAAAGGAACGGTCAGGAAAAAGGAGAGCATAGGGATGATGGAATAACATACATTGAATGCCGATTGCAAAAACATCAGAATGATGTCAACCACAAGCCAAACAACAAAAGGAACAAGGACTTCAATGAAAGGTGATATAACCAGCAAGAAGATAAATGTTCAAATGGAGCATGAAGGACAACACTGAGGTTCCAATCGGGAAGACAGGCAGGGCGAGGAGGACAAGTAATGGAGAATGAATGAAATAATAAAGATAGAACAGGAGATTCAAACATAGATGCAATTCAGTAAGTGAAAAAGTGGAAGACAAGGCCACCCAGCAACTAGCAACAGAGGAAAATGAGAGGCCTCCATTAATGCTAAGAGAAAAAAGACAACAAATGAGTAACAGTAGGTCAAGAATGATGGTAATCCTGACATAAAGACCAAGAGCAGTAAGTTGTTCACTTACGTTGATAAACCACCAAGGAGAGTGGTCGAACAGGATGGGAAATAAAGAAGGCAACACAACTGGAAAGTCCAGACTGTCTGATGGGGGACTGGACAAAAGCCATGCATGCATGAGGATGGAGTGCAGGTAGGGAAGGATGACATATGCTGGAGTGAGGATGATAAAGTAGCATTGGTATGCAAATGGAGAGGAACTGGTAGTGACATCAATAGCCATCACAGAAGTGGAAACCATGTCCGAGCCAGCAAATATGGGGCCACCAACAGGAGTGGTCTGATATGCCAAAATCCGATAAGGTGGAAGACAAACGAGAGAATAAGGATATAGGTAACAATTGGTCCAATTTTGGCTGAGAGCATCCAGTACATCTGCCTGAAGATGAGGAACAGGCGACCAAAATGGGGAAGTTTTGTGTTGAGAGATGATGCAAATTCATCCAAATTGGGGATACTCCAGAAAGCACACAACTCCCAAAAACAACAGGATCCAAAGACCACTCTATCAGTAGAATCTTGTCAGGTTGAGATAACTGATCCATGGTACGCGGAATATGGCATGCCAGCAAAGTAATGTGATGTCTGTGGGCTCAATAAAGTAGATCCATGTCCAATAACAAAGGTTCCTCAATCAGGTGCTCCCTTTCTTGGACATAGAGGACACCACCATTGAATTGTTCGAGTGCACCATCACCACCTATGCCTGAAGGGACAGCAGAAAGTGAAGAAGAGCTCACTGAACAGTAAGAAGCTTCAAGATATTGATATGGAAAGCAGATTCCATAAGTGTCCACCATCCTGAAACTTCCTACCATCGAGATATGTTACCCAACTGAAAAGTGAAGCCTCAGTAAAAAGGTAACAATCCGAACAAGGTGGAGGAATAGGAATCCCCAAGATAGTATTGGTATGATCTATCCACCAGGCAAAGTCCATTTGTAATGAAGAGAGAAGGATAATAGGAGCCTCCAAGAGATCCCAAACAAGGCTCCATTGGTCGATTAAAGCCCACTGAAAATGATGCACAGGGGCACAAACCAGAGGAATGAGAACCTTGAGAGAAGCCCAGTTTCCCAAAAAGAGATAGAACCTCTCAAACAGAAGGAGAAGGCGAGTAGGAGACCTTG